GCACCTGGACCAGATGGCATACACCCATGGGTCCTTAGAGAATTGAAGACATTGTTTCTAATTTTTAGGGATGGGTGCTCATAATTGTGTGTGTGTGTGTGTGTGTGTGTGTTGTGTGTGTGTGTGTGTGTATTTTCAGGTACCCGTGCCGCCATTCGCGGCCACGGCTGTCAATCACCGGGTCCTGGCCGGTGATTACTCGCCAGCACCTGGTGATTTCTGACGTTCTCCAACGGGGAGGAGAACTGTTTCGTTTACCATTAGTTCTCCCAGCACACAGTTCACCCTTTGATTGCCCCTCATGTTAACCCCTTCCTGCCCAGTGCCATTAGTACAGTGTCATTGCTTTTTATTAGCACTGATCACTCTATTGGTGTCACTGGGGATGTCCGTGACACCAAGTCAGTTCCCCCCAGTGTCAGAATGTCCGCTGCAGTCCCACTATAAGTCGCTGATTGCCGTCATTACTAGTAAAAAAAAAAAAAAAAAAAAAATTCCAGTATCTATACCGCCATTTGTAAAATCTAAAACTTTCACATAAATCAATTAATTTACATGTATTGGGAATTTTTTAGCAAAGACATGTAACAGTATACATTTTGGCCTAAATTTATGACAAAATATGATTTTTTTTTTATTGGACATGTTTAATTGCAAAAAGTAAAAAATATTGTTTTTTTTTTCTCAAAGTTGTCGGATTTTTTTTTATTGTGCAAAAAATAAACGCACAGGCGATTAAATACTACTGAAAGAAAGCTCAATTCGTGGGGGAAAAAAAACCCCTTAAATTTCATTTGGGTGCAGCATTGTATGACTGCGCAATTGTCAGTTAAAGTAACGCAGCGCCGTAATGCAAAAAATGGGCTGCTCAGGAAGGGGGGTAAATCCTTAGGAGGGCAAGTGGTTAACTTCTATAGTTGGGAAGATACTGGAGAGTTTATAAAAAAGACCACATAGACGAGTTTCTTGCTGGAAAATAATATTTTAAGCAACAGACAGCATGGATTCATGAAAGACAGAAGTTGTCAAACAAATCTGCTTTCTTTTTATGAGGGGGTGAGCAAAACCTTGGACAGAGGGGTGGCGGTGGATGTGGTATACTTGGACAGAGGGGTGGCGGTGAACGTGGTATACTTGGATTTTGCAAAAGCGTTTGACACAGTTCCCCACACACTGCTAACGTTTAAGATAAAGTTTACAGGCTTGGAAAATCTGTATGTAACTGGATAGAAAACTGACTAAAAGATCGTATTCAAAGAGTAGTGGTTAATGACTCATACTCTGAATGGTCTAGGGTCATCAGTGGTGTACCCCAAGGTTCAGTGTTGGGACCCTTACGTTTTAATATATTTATAAACGATATAGGGTCTGGGATTATAAATCCCATTTCAGTCTTTGCAGATGACACCAAGCTGTGCAGTGGAATAACGTCTTTACAGGATGTCTTCAATTTACAAGCCGACCTCAATGCACTGTGTAATTGGGCAACTATGTGGAAAATGAGGTTTAATGTTGATAAATGTAAGGTTATGCACTTGGGGGCTAAGAATATGCATGCATCATACATACTGGGGGGGGGGGGTACAACTGGGGGAATCAATGGGGGAGAAGGATGTGGGAGTTCTGATAGATCAAAAGTTTAGTAATGGCATGCAATGCCAAGCTGCGGTTTCTAAAGCGAGCAAAATCCTCTCTTGTATTCAAAGCGGTATAGACTCCAGAGAGAGAGATATCATTTCCCCCGGTACAAATCATTAGTAATACCTCATCAGGAATATGCAGTTCAGTTTTGGGCACCAATTCACAAAAAGAACATTGGGGAACTGGAGAAAGTACAGAGAAGGGCAACCAAACTGGTAAGAGGCATAGAGGAGCTCCGCTATGAGGAAAGATGAGAGGAACTGAATTTATTCTCTTGAGGAGATTAAGGGGGGATATGATCAACATGTATAAATACATCATTGGTTCATATAGTGAACTCGGTGTAGAGTTATTCACCCTGATGTCATCACAGAGGACAAGGGGGCACTCTTTTCGTCTGGAAGAAAAGAGATTTAATCTCCAAATACGGAAAGGTTTCTTCACAGTAAGAACTGTGAAAATGTGGAATAGTCTCTCTCAAGAGTTGGTTCTGGCCAGCTCAGTAGATTGCTTTAAAAAAGGCCTGAATTCTATCCTAGATACACATACTTAGTCAAGGTAGAAGGAATTATGAACAGTTCCAAATACCAGTCAGTATTGGCACTAAACCTTCAGGCTTCTACTAGAAAGCTGAACATGAAGAGGAACTTCATCTTTCAGCATGACAACAACCCAAGCATACATCCCAATCAACAAAGGAATGGCTTCACTAGAAGAAGATTAAAGTTTTGGAATGGCCCAGCCCTGAATCAGATCGAAAATCTGTGGGGTGATCTGCAGAGGGCTGTGCACAGGAGATGCCCTCACAATCTGACAGATTTGGAGTGTCTGCAAGGAAGAGTGGACAAATATTGCCAAGTCAAGAAGATGTGTCATGCTGATAGACTCATACCCAAAAAGAGTGCTGGAATAAAATCAAAAGGTGCCTCAACAATATTAGTTTAACCATATTATTTAGTTTTTTATTTTACTTCCCTCCACCTAAAAGATTTCAGTTTTTTGTCATACAAGCTGTCGTATAGTTTATAGGTTACATTAAAGGTGGAAAAAGTTCTGAAATTATTTATCTTTGTCTCGTTTTTTTACATCACAGAAACCTGACATTTTAACAGGAGTGTGTAGACTTTTTATATCCACTGTAATATAACGGATACTAACATTTATAGGTAAAGTTGATCCAGGGAATATTCGGGGGATCAGGAAGGAATTTTTTCCCTGCAAGAGCAAATTGGATCGTACTTTGCTGGGTTTTTAGGCCTTTCTGTGGATCAACTGTAGGTATAAGATTATAACTTTTTTTTTTCTTCTTCTTTTCTGCCGTTGAACAAGATGGACTTTTGTCTTTTTTTCAGCAGACGATCTACACCAAAAGCAGGCATATAGCAAGCAATTAGATTTGCATCTGAGGTATCCTGGGCTAACTATGCTTTAACCACCTTCCGCCCACCATATAAGGAAATGGGCGCAGGCGGTTCTCTCGTTCTGGGACGACGTCATATAACGTCTTCCCACTCTAACCGCGCGTGTGCTGCTCCGGTCGGTTGTGTGCTGTGTCCCTCAGACACAGCGGATCACCGATCAACAGCCAGAGCCGAAGACGTCCAGCTCATTCATGTGATCAGCTGTGTTCAATCACAGCTGATCGCAGGTAAATAGGGAAATGCCGGTTATCGGCATTTCTCTCCTCACAAGCTTTCATGCTGACAGCTCATGAGGAGAAGAGAGCCGGTAATCAGCATTCCTCAGAGGGGACATCTACGCTGATCATCAGGGCACAGTGATCAGTGTAGCCCCAGCAGTGCCGCCTGTCAGTGTCCATCAATGCCACATATCAGTGCCTACCAGTGCACATCAATGCCACATATCAGTGCCCATCTGAGCTGCCTTCAGTGCCACCTATCCGTGCCAGTCAGTGCCTCCTATCAATGCCAGTTAGTGCAACCTGTCAGTGCCGCCTATCAGTGCCATATATGAGTGCTGCCTTTCAGTGCCCATCAGTAATGCCTGTCAATGCCCATCAGTGCCAGCTACCAGTGCCTCCTCATCAGTGCCACCTATCAGTGTCCCCTCATCAGTGCCACCTATCAGTGCCCCATCAGTGCAGCCTATCAGTACCCATCACTGCAGCCTCATTAGCGCTCATTAGTGAAGGAGAAAAATCACTTATTTACAATATTTTATAACAAAAACTAAAACATTTTTTTTTTCAAAATTTTCGGTTGTTTTTGATTTGTTTAGCAAAAATAAACCCAGGGGTGATTAAATACCACCAAAAGAAAGCTCTATCTGTCTAAAAAAAAAAAATTATAAAAATTTCATATGGGTACAGTGTTGCATGACCGCGCAATTGTCATTCAAAGTGCGACAGCGCTGAAAGCTGAAAATTGGCCTAGGCAGGAAGGGGGTATAAGAGCCCGATAAGCAAGTGGTTAAATACGTTTTGTGGTCTACTTTGCAATGTGATAATTTTGTGGGTGTTTCTAGCTCTTTTCCTTGCACTTTAGGGCCTCAAGAAATGTGAAAGGTAGTCAGGAAATCAGATGCATCATTTATGCCCCTTGAAAACCTAAAGGTGCTCATTGAACCTTGTGCCCCTCTGTGTGTTTAGGCAGTAAAAAAAAAAAATCTTGTGTGTTATTTCCATACTTGAGAGGAGTAGAAGAATGAAAATTGGCCTGGGCAGGAAGGGGGTATAGGTGCCCTGTAGACACGTGGTTAACCACAAACTACACTGGAAACACTGTGCATGAAGCTGTATGTACAGTGCTAACTGTGTTTCCAGATGATGTGAAGAAGCAGAGTGAGTTTATGGGTCCCAGTGTGACAGTTGAGATGGACCAGTGTGAGTGGAGAGCGCAGTAAGACTGAAAGGAGGTGGGGGGTGAGAAAAGGGGGCAACATAGAGATATGTTCTGCAAAGGGGGGAGGGTTAAAGGGTGGCATAAGAGTAAACATGATGGTAGGAGGGATGGTTACAAGGTAACCTAAGTGGGGACATGCTCTGCCATGATAGGTGGCACTTGGTTGGATGTAAATCACCCAACAGGCCTGTGAATAAGTGAAAATAGCCATGGTTATCCACTCCTCCTAATATATCACTACGTAGCTATGAACGTTTGCTTACCACATGTTTGTAAATGGTCAGTAAACTAAAGCTGGCCATAGATAATTCATTTTTTTTTTTTTTTTTTATCAGCAGTCAAGAGTACAAATAGTGGAGGTAATCTCCCTAATAGGGGAAAAAAAAGCTTAACAGATGGTTTAACCTTTTCCTGCCCTATCCAGAATGTACACTTTAATAAAATGGAGACACAGGACAAAAATGTAAAATGTGACTCTAAATCTTGCTGTGTTTCTAGGTATTATGGAGGTGCTGAGGTTGTGGATCAGATAGAGTTGCTGTGCCAGCAACGTGCTTTGGATGCCTTCAGACTGGACCCAGAAAAATGGGGAGTTAATGTGCAGCCATACTCTGGTTCCCCGGCTAATTTTGCAGCATACACAGCCCTTCTGCAGCCACATGACCGCCTCATGGGACTGGATCTTCCTGATGGAGGACAGTAAGTATATTCTAGCTCACTATATTTTTACATTTATTGACCAGATTTTTAAAAAATGAATAATGGAGTCAATTGGGCTTCTTTGGTGGCGGTGCAGACCTGGAAACTCAGGAGCAGACCTTTCAATATAGTGTTCCTGAGAAACCATTAGGTGGCTTATCTCTTTTTAGTTACCGAACACGAAAATATCTTCGGTGAGTTGACCATTTTAAAGGTATTTTTTTTTTTTTCTTATAGAGTTACACATTAAAGACAGCAGTTTTAGATATAAAACTTATCAGTGTGTACAATCTTGTATCTATAATTTGTAGTTCTAAAACTTATCAGTGTGTACAATTTTGTATGTATAATTTGTAGTATATATGCGTTGGGCAGCCATATTTTCTTATTACATATGCAGGCTTGGCTTCCTGTTTTATTCATTGGTTGTGTCCTATTGCTTTCTTCTACCAATGCAGGCTGTTCTGCCAACTTACTGAAAGCAATGTATCTCCTATGTGACTGATAGCATTAAAGCCTCGCTTGATCAGAAAACAATATTGTCCTTTCAGTGTAATGCCTGACGTTTTGCTATGGCAGGCTTCCTATATGCTGTCCCCTGAAGCCTTTTCTGGAAGGCGCTTCCGTTGGCAATTGCACATTGATATCTTCAGCTACAATTCAAGATCAGTAGGCCATTTGCAACCATGTACACACTCTAGGGCCATTATAGGGAAAATCTTGTTAACTGTGAGAATTGCATGAAAATGGGATCAAAGTTATCCCACAAGCTTACATCTTTTATAACTTAAGTTGGCCAAAAATGTGTACCAATTAAGCTCCAAACATTTTTCATCAATAAAGGCTAACATAAAACTACTGTTGCTTTTCCACTGAAAGAGAAAAATGACTTGTAATTTGAGCTAGCCTTTTTAAATGAGTATTCTGTGACATTTGAAATCTTTTCAGATTCAGACAGACTTGATAACATTTTTTTTTTTTTTTTTTTTTTCAAGCCTAACACTAACACGGGTACATGTCTGATGTGAAACGTATCTCAGCTACCTCAATTTACTTTGAATCCATGCCTTACAAGCTTAATGTAAGTGTTCCCTAGATGTAAAGTGGCATCTAGTTTCATTTACTATACTGTACTTACTTTAAATTGTTCAGACAAGATTAGTAAGTTTGTATACATTTCTGTCAGTATGTATCATAATCATCACAATTATGACAAATCACGGCTTGAACTATCTTGCTTTGCATGTAATGAGTCTATCTCATATATTAGTTTCACCTTTTAAGTTGCATTACTGAAATAAATGAACTTTTGCATGATATTCTAATTTTTTGAGTTTCACCTGTATATAAAGCCAGCACCTAATGCTAAAACTGCCAATTTTTGTGTTTTTTCTTGTACAATAAGCAAGCATTTCTGGTCAGTAAACTCCGCCGTTTAGAAGATAAAAGCCCAGTACAGTTTTTGTAAAACCCCATGCTGCTCTCTTTAGCAGTTACTAGATTTGTTAAAACCGATCACTACCACCTACAGGGTTTAGACGCATAGGAAAACAGGCTCACTCTGCCGCTTTAGCTTTGTGCTTACTGTACAGCAATCAAAAAGAATGTAATATTGTATTTAATATTTCTTGTTAGTTAGTACCCGTATTTCGTTATTTTTCCGGCGTATAAGACGACTGGGCGTATAAGACGATCCCCCCCTACTTTTCCTGTTAAAATATAGGGTTTGGGCTATAAACTCGCCGTATAAGACTACCCCCCCCTCTTCCAACCAATCACGGCAAGCAATGTACCAGTATTTTCTGTGCACACTGTGCACACTGCATACAAAGCCTGCTTGGATTGGGTGGGTCAGCTCTCCCTGCCTGCCCAGCCCTGCCTGTCTCCAAGATACCATAAATTGCACAGAACTGCCACAGACATTATAATATTAATAATTACCGTATCTCATAGAAGTTAAGGGGACAAGGTCGGATGCAGCAGTACCATACCGGTACTTCCGAGCTGACACTTCTGCACATGTCTAGGGCAGCAGTAGACGATCACTGATCACCATTCCTCGCAGAACTGCATGAGACGTCGGATGCAGCCGTTCAGTGCTCGATTGATCGTGACTGAAACTGTGACATGCGCAGAATTACTGTGTATCTCTTCTCTGCATATCACAGTTTCAGTCAAGCTCAATCGAGCACTGCTGCATCCGACGTCTCATGCAGTTCTGCGAGCTACGGTGATCCGCGATCGTCTACTGCTGCCGAAGACATGCGCAGTAGCGTCAACCCGGAAGTACGGTAAAGGTTTCAGCACAGCACCCGGCGTATAAGACGACCCCCGACTTTGTAGATGATTTCCAGGGGTTAAAATGTCGTCTTATACGCCGGAAAATACGGTATATGCCATTTCAGAACATGTTACAAAATATATCCAAGCAACAGAGTTTAAAAAAAAAAAAAAAAAATTAAAATTCTTCCTCTGCATAAAGGGCTCAGAAGACCCCAAGATTTAGGAAAGTTACTGAATGTAATTGTTGCTATTTTTCTTAGTTTGTAGACCGAACTTGATAACTGAAGCTGTTTGATCCCAGGCAGACTCTAAGTAATAACCTCCCATAGCCCTTTAAAGACAGGTTTACGCTCTATCTCTCTGTGCAACCAATCTTTTGTATGAGTAACTCTGTGTACTGCAAAATATGGAAGTTCTAAAAACGGTTTGGTACTCCACCCTTCATATTATAGTAAAGAAATGCACATGAATTGACAGGATGAAAGAAATCTCTGGTGGTGACCAAGTGGCACCTCTTTCGCTGGATACAGTCCATCTGTAAGCAGGCATCCACTACCCATTTCCTGCTAGAAGTACATCCTTATTGAGCATAATCCCTACATACACAATACATAATCCCTACATCACCCTCTAAAAGATGTGATAACAGCCCTAGGGATGTTTAACCCTTGCTACACTGACTTGGGATTTTGAAGCATCGCACGCAAGGAAGAGGCTTTGAAGGGAAACTTTCAACCTTGAATTAATTCAGCTGCAAAAATATAATAAAGGTGCACCACTTGTCTTTCCAAACAAATGAGCTCAAGCACTATCCTGTAACTATTATCATGCAGCAGGTGTCGGTGTCACAGCTGGGCTCCGGTCAGCACCATCCACTTGGTCGAGAAAGTCAGCATTGGACTCCATATATAATCCGCAGAGTTTATTAACCACTTCCCGTCCGGCCGCTGTATATAAACAGCCGGACGGTGGCAGTGCAGGGGCGGGTTGCCGTTCATAAACGGCGCTTGCCATTTTGGACTATGTGCACTCCCTGGGAGTGCGCAGCACTGCGATCTGGTGAACACCGATCGCTGTACGGGACCTTTGTGTGAGGTCCCGATCATGTGATCACTGATTGGCCAATCAGTGATCACATGAATAGGTGAAAGCAAGATGTCACTTCTGACATCTTGGCTTACTACTAGTGAAATCTGAATGATCACAAAGGTCACATGGTACAAGGCTATTCACAACAGCCTTGTACCATGTGACAAGCTGTGACCAATCACAGCTCTCACAGTATTTCTCAATGCAAGAATGCAGCCAGATAGGAGAAATGATTGCTTTTACAGCCTTTATGGGTGTAAAAGCAATCAGTGTAAAAAGGAAAAAAAAATCTTCATCACCCCTACAAGTAGCACAGTGTCACTATGGTAACTATATCAAAATTGCAGCGCTAAAATAATAATGATATCAAATGGCAATATAAAGTGATAAGTGAAACAGCGCTACCAAGGAGCGCAATAAAGTGAAAATAGTGCGTCATCCTTTATGGACGAAAACCAGTGACATAAACGTACAGTAGTCCACACAAATTCTTCCTTAGAAATGTGCTTATATCATCCAGTGTGTATGGATAATTAGTAGCTCCTTCACAGATTAAGATAAATATGGTGCTCGTGACTCCTTGTGGGTAAGGGAAAAAGAGGTGTGCTTGCATCACCGGACGCACAACCAAATTGTGCATGTAAAGGTATTCTGTAGGGCACTAGTGGTCATCTAGGAACTGATGAAGATATGGTACTTCTCAGGTACTCGCTACACCCTTAACCGGACTTCAGTCCTCGACGTAGGACCCTCACAGCAAACGGGACAGCTCCTTTGGTGTAAACTCCACCTTAAAAATGAAGAGCTGATAGAAATAAGAACATTCTATAATTGTGGCCTCTCGGGAGAGATATATATGCTGCTGGATCTCCTTGTTCAAAACTGGTGATCTGGCCAGAAACGCACCTCCTGCTCTGGATGAATGAGCACCTATGGTGACACTGTACTGCTAGGGTGACAGTATGTTAAAAAAAAAAACATAAATAATATAAAAATGTAAACAAATTTTTTTAAAAAAATTATAATTGTTGGTTATAAACTAATTTTGTGTGTGTTTTTTTTTTTTTTACTAAAAAGATAACAATAAATTTTGGCCAAGATTTATGAAGAAAGATTATTTATTTGCAAAATTTTATAAGAAAAACTTTTTTTTTTTTTTTTTTTTTTTTTTTTCAAAATTTTTGGACTTTTTCATTATATAGCAAAAAAAAAATTTAAATCCCAGTGGTGAATAAATACCACCAAAATAAAGTTTTATCTGTCTCAAAAAAATGCTAAAAAAATTCATATGGGTACAGTGTTGCATGACCTGTTGGCCTGAACAGGAAGGGGGTAAAAGTGTCCAGACATGAACTGGTTAATCACTTTAATACTGCACTTTTACTCCCTTCCTGCCCAGGCCAATTTTCAGCTTTCAGGGCTGTCGCACTTTGAATGACAATTGCACATTCATGCAACACTAAACTATGAAATTTTTATTTATTTATTTTTTTTGTATCACACAAATGGAGCTTCCGTTTGGTGGTATTTAATCATTACTGAGTTTTTTTTTTATTAGATTTTTATTTTTTTTTGCTAAATAAAAGAAGACTGAAAATTTTTAATAATAAAAAAAACAAATTTTTGTGCGTTCCGGTTATAAAATTTTGAAAATAAATAACCTTTCTTCATAAATTTAGGTCAAAATGGATTCTGCTACATTTTCTTTGCTGAAAATAACCCAAATCAGTGTATATTTAGTCTGTAGGAAAGTCCACAAACTATGGTATATATCTGACAATCGATGTACTGACAGCCTCTTTTCTTGAGGCCTGAAAATGCCAGGATAGTATAAATATCTCCCAAATGACCTTGTTTTGGAAAATAGACAGTTCAAGCTGTTTATGAAGAGGCATTGGGGTTTTTTTTTTTTTTTTTTAAGTTGTAATTTTTTGTTCAAGTTTTTGGGGAAATTGCCAAAAACATTTTTTTTTTTTTTACACATATTGTCAACAGTCCGTAACAGCGTTATCCTATAACTGGCATGGCAGTGATCAGGGACACTGACTTGGTGACTGTGTATACAAATTTTTACTTTTTTTTTTTTTAATTGTTTATTAAATTTTTTTTTTTTTCAATTTTCTTACACATTATGATTGCTTATACCAATTTATTTCTTTGATATAAAAAAAAAAAAAAAAATTTACTGAAAGAAACTGATACATTTCTGTGCCTTTTGTTGTGATTAGCTGTGATGGGCCCAGTCTGTACTATTTGATTGCTGTGACCAATCACCACTAACACAACGGATAGCATGAAAGGAAGCCATCCATTGTTTACAATTGTCACGTGATCTGCTGTGATTGGTCACAGCGATCACATGAGACTGGCAGTGGGCCAATGTAGTGATCAGTCATTGGCTGTGTCTTGTGGACACAGCCGGTGACAGATCGCGCGGCACCTTCTGAGAGGACATCATATGATGCCCACTCAGAAGGAGGAGCATTCCGCTCGGCCATCAATTTGCTATAGGCTGGGCGGGAAGGTGTTAAAATTCAAGTGGTTTATTTTACAGCAGAAATACAAAGTGTTTTGACTTACTCATAGTTAGTCTGTTGTCAATAAAGATCTCATTTATAAGCTGCTTGGTCACTTCAGGAATGGGGGTTGAATACCAAAATGACTTCAGCTGTGTGTAATTGGCATCCATTCTGTCAACTCAACAGCATA